TTAAAAGAGAACTGGGGCTTGATCGTCCGAGGCATCATACACCTTCGCAGATGCATGTCTAACTTGCCCTAGAATGCGGTTCAAGTATTAGGGGAGAATTTTTTAATTCTCTTGATTTTTCCCGAGTCGAATAATTCGACCTGACCAGTTCTACTTAGGTCTTTCCGTTCAGAACTGGATAGGTCTTGGGAAGCCTCTTCCNCCCGAGTCGAATAATTCGACCTGACAAGTTCTACTTAGGTCTTTCCGTTCAGAACTGGATAGGTCTTGGGAAGCCTCTTCCCGAGTGCTTCCGAGACCTTTCTAACTCTGATTATGTCCCATTTCAGCACTCGTTGGGTGTAAGCAGGACTTGTACTCAACAAGGGGAGAAATTGTTAACAAATCTAACCCTTGTTCCAAGTGGAAATGAAAATGTTTTATTTCGACGTTTCTGGCGCCTCCGAGGGTGTCATTGGCATTAGAGGAGTCAATAAATACAAAATCAACATTCACTTGGCGAAAAAATTCGATTTTGGCGAAAATCGACTTTCCCCCGGGAAAAACGGAAAATCTGACCCTTTGAAAATTTGAAAAAAATTTTTTTTTTTCATTTTTCACTTTTTCCACATACTTTTGACAGTTCTGACTAGCCCGGCGCTTAAATAGTTGGAATCAACGTTCACCCGGCTAAAAAATTCGATTTTGGCGAAAATCCACTTGCCCCGGAAAACCCGAAAATCTGGCCCTTTGGCTGGGGCCAAAAAAAACGGTTTCTCAGTTTTCACTTTTTCCACATACTTTTGACAGTTCTGACTAGCCCGGCGCTTAAATAGTTGGAATCAACGTTCACCCGGCTAAAAAATTCGATTTTGGCGAAAATCGACTTTCCCCCGGGAAAAACGGAAAATCTGACCCTTTGAAAATTTGAAAAATTTTTTTTTTTCAGTTTTCACTTTCTCGACATACTTTTGAGAGTTCTGAATAGCCCGTCACTTAAATAGTTAGAATCAACGTTCACTCGGCTAAAAAATTCAATTTTGGCGAAAGTCGACTTTCCCCCAGGAAAAACCGAAAATCTGACCCTTTGGCTCCGAATGAAAAAATTTTTTCATTTCGAGATTTGTCGTGCCTCCGTGGGTTTCGTTGGCATCAGAATTGTCAGAAAATACACAATCAACCTTCACTCGGCGAAAATCGACTTTCAGGCTGACTCTTGACTCACGTGAAAATTAATTTTTTTTTGTCTTTTCTGTCACCCCTGAGGGTTTCATTGGTATCAGGGGGCGTGTAGAGTCAATAAATACCAACGTTCGCTATTTTTCATTTCAATACCGCCTGCAAACGGAGGAATGAGGGTGACTAAAATGTATTCTGCAACCCTGTTTCCTCGTTGGCTACAAATTTCAATCCTCCGCATATATGCCCCCCACCCCCTCCATCCCGAGGTCTGGGTAGAGGAGGACTTTTCAGAGCTGAAAAGAACTGAGGATTCGAAAGGTCTCCGGAAAATTAAGGACGGCGTAGAACTGATTACTATTTACCAGCTCAATCTAGATCTGGAGAGATCTTGAAAGACCTGTGTACGTGCGATCAGTACCAAATCCTCGACTCGGGTGCACGTCATCGGATCAAACAATGAGATCACAAAATTCCAGGGATTTTATCTCGCGAGATCTCCAACCGCGCGTGGAAGATAAGACTTGGTTGCTGTTGTTCGTGTGGATTTTTGACATTATCTTCATTTTTTTTGTTTGAAATTCTTTCACTTGAGAACTTGAGGAGAATGAGGAACTCTTTATTCAGGGAATTGTTTTCTTCAATTGCCTGAATTCAGAGCATTTTTAATTTAACAGTTGTATTCTTACTATTCATCATTGTTAAGTACTTAAAAAGTTCTTAAGGAGAGCAACGGAAACACCAATGCCGTTATGAAAAATATTTTAATCCTTAAAACGCTACACTGAACTTGTAATTCTTCCTGGAGACCGTTATCATCGGAGCTGTTGCATTACCAAAAATAAACAAATTGCCTTTGGTTAATTAAATCCACGTGGCATGGAGCGGAAAGAAAGAATCCAGCTTTTGCAACTTGGCATCGATTCACCCCCGAAATTCCTCAATCGACCGGTTTTCGGTCTTGCCACTTTTTCTTTCCTTTATTATACGAAAACCGTTTAAATTCGATTCTACCCTGAATTATCTGTATCAAGTCCTGCCAAAAGTTTCATCAAACATCGTGCATAAATTTGAAGTGCTTTTAATTTTTCCTTCCATTCATTATTCTCGAAATGAAAAATTAACCGTCAATATCTCGAAAATCAAATCATCAAATTCACGGCAAAAAAATCTATTTTGTCTCATCGGGACCTATTCACTATTATTCCTTTGAAATTAACCGTGAGAAACCGTCACGCGAGACATGAAAAAAAAATAGTTCATAATTTTTCAAGTGTGAGACGGCATTTGGCCATCAGCCCAAGAATCGATGCCAAGCGCAACTCCTCGTCCGTAGGTACTACGTCCTAACGGTACCCCATGATTAGCACACTAACCGACATAGGAAGAGAACCTCGGTAAAAATTCACAAGTGAATAAATACCGCATTAAGTACACATCACACGCCCCGTCAATTATCAACAATTAAAATAATTTATCAGTAATAATACACATTCGATAAATAATTAGAGGATAATTCTTTCGCATTGCTGAGGAATGATAGGAATTTTTTTTTCGTTGCGCTCACTCTCTCCTCTTTCTCTCCCCCCCCCCCCCCCCC